ATGATGCACTTTCCTTGAATTACCGCTTGTCGATGGATTGGTTCGTTTGTCGTCTTTATTTACATAAACCACTGATAAGGATTGAGCACGTCTTTCTAAAAAGGTAGCAAGATCAGCGAACTTTGGAAAACGCGCGGCATCATTGCTCTCCATATCGGCCGCGTTGATCGACAGTTGACTATCTTTCATCACTAACTCGGATTCCCAGATCTATCTAGACTCAGAATCTAGCCTAGCTTCGAGAAGATGAACAAGCCACATATCCTAATACGCCACCGGGGGTTTATGATTTGAAAGGGCACGAATAATTCATTGGGTTTCGTCAACAAAGGCGCGCAAATCAGTCGCGGACTCCTTCTTCAAGTAGGAAAAGCTGAAGAGCGAATCAAGTAGCTTGCTTATAGCCAAACGCGAGTTGCGGAACCGAGCACGCAGGGTCTGCCAAGTCGATGCGTAATTGACTCCCACAAGTGTGACGTCTTTTACTAATTCGGCTGCAATACCTTTCAAACAAGATTTGAGATATTGCAATTTAGTAACATCTTTAAGCCGCGGTACATCGTGCACAAGAGAGACAAAGAGATCTTCGAAACTATCCCAATCTTCGTACTATCCCGAAAAGGTAGGCAAATCGAGAAGTGGCAGTTTCGCTGGCATATCATCATAATCATCCTCTCGCTCGCATCGCGTTCCTCGAGAACTACACTTCTCTTCGTTCCGTGCCATCGGCAAGTCGTTAAGCGCGTTCAACAGCCACTCGATTGTCTCCTTATAGATTCGATTCATACTTTCGAACTCATTTTGTAAAATGTACGGATGCCTCTCCGCATCTGCACGCAACGCGATTTCATCGTGCGCTCTACGAAGATCTTTCCAGCGCTCTTCCGCATCAAGAATGCGCCTCTGAAGTGTGGTTTGGTTGAGAGTGTCACGGTCACGAACGCGCATACGCGTACCGATTGCTTCGATTTGATTGCTGCGTTGTCGCTGTAGCGTGATAAGTCGATTCAAATGCACACGCGATATTGTAATGAGGTAGGCTTAAGCAATGCAAATTTAACAACTCGTGGTGGATCTCTTACACAGCTACGCGTACGATATAAATTTCTTCACACACTATTTATATGTAATACAAATATAGTAACTATGTAATATAAGTAGATCTAGATAAGGCGCAATGATTATACACAAACTTCACACTGAAAACTCTGATTAATATTTATATATTCACACTATCCTCACCCCGCGGCCACCATGTTTAGTTTTAGTTAGATTATTAGGCAGAATGTAAATATCCTTAATGCTAAAAGTCTCAACTCTAAATTAAATTCGTGATGATAAGGAATAAAAGTCAGAATTTAAACAATCAACAAGCATTTTACTTTATTAATATGAATTACTCTAAGATTCAGCCGGCATAAAAAACCCCAGTCGTAGGTGAGGAAAAAGCCATTTGAATATAACACATACGAAACAAAACTTACAATAAAACAACAATCTTACTTAAAATAAATATAACAAATGTCACGAAGATTATTTAGATTAGAGTAGAAATGATAAACAGTGTGAAGTAATCGTATAAACGCGCTTATAGTTGGGATGTCGCAGTAATAAATTGCTCGCTTACCAGCTTGATGCCTACACAACAAGTAATCGATGTAGGGAAACGTTTTCACTGCTAGCTTAAACGTAGCTCATACGGGTGGAGCCCTCGCTAACGTTTCTACTGGTGATGGATCCAACGGGCAAACTGCCGCATGGATGAAGACGCTCCAGAGGAAGTCCCTCTGCTAAGGCAACAGGCACTGTCTGAAAACGGCATCTTTTATGTATCCCCACAAAAAGAAATAAAGTAGACTCAAATCTGGCGACTTAGGAGGCCACGTGATTGGTCCACCTCGCCCTATCCATCAATTTGGAAATTGCTGATTTAAAAACGTTCATACCATACAAGCATAGTGAGCAGGAGCGCCATCTTGTTGACATAAATTCTGTCTAACTACAAGTGAAACGTCTTCTAGTTATTCCGGCAAATTGCTCTGAAGAAATTCTAAATACATTGTACCATGAATAGTCCGTTCAAATAAATGTGGTCTAATCACTTGACCATTACATGCCAACCTATAAATGTAAGGCCCAAGTATGTTGAATGAGCACCTGACGATACCAATGTATATTTTCTGGTGACCGATAATGGCTATTGTGTCTATTTAAACTTCCTATACTGCTAAACGTAGCCTCATCTCTGAAAAAAAATTCCAAAAAAAATCTCATCCAACATGTCAAGAGCCCATCTACAAAATTAAATTCTAAGTATATGATCTTCTAGACTTAATTCCTGTATCAGAGTAATGTGATAAGGATGATATCTTACACATCATAATAGTCTTTGAGCTGTAGCTTGCAGAATTTCAGTTTCTCGTTCAATTTGACGTAAACTAACGTGAGGGTTCCAGTGAACCAAAGCCAAAATTGTAAGTAATCTAAGATCCATATTATTTTAGAGTCTATTTCTTTGTCTTTGACGATGCAATGGATTATTTCTGGATCTTCTCTCAATGTTTAATATTTGTTAAAATTACCTGGAGAGGGGTTTTTGGAGAGATCATCCGTACCTCATACATGTAGCTTTATCTGAACATAGATTTTGACGAAGAACTCAAATCAGTGATAAAAAATAAGGGTTTCCATTGAAAAAACATTGACCTGGAAATAACCTTGGGGGTGGATTGGGGGAGAGGCGGTCCCGGGACCCCACACATATTACATAATCTTAACGTAGAATTTCACGCGGAATCCGAATCCGTGGTCAAAAATAGGAGTTCCTATTCAAAAACAACATTGACTTTGAAATGATCTTGACGGGTCACGTTCAAGGTCAAATCCAAGTTCATCAACACATCTCTCGATCCTGAACAACTTTCTTATGAATCATTTTTTAACTTTGCCGGCTTGTTTCCGAGATATTCAGCTGTGAAAGTTAAAATGGGACACCCTGTATAAGCCAGCATCAGTTAAATTTTGAAAATGATTGGGAATACGCCATCTGTTGAACATGAAAGGAAGTACTCGCAGATACTGTATATATTCGAATAGTATTTTTATGTATTCAATGTATGTAATCAATGTATTTCTACAAAATTAGGTGCATATAGATTTCTGGGGTTATTGTTATTGTAGAATTAAAAAATTCAAAATGGTGAATCTAATATTGTGAATATATGGTGGATTAAAATAATTGAAAATCAATCATGTGTTCAAAGTCTAATTATTTCCTTTATATATTTAAGACTCAATTTTTAAAAATGAAACGCGATTTTAGATCCGCCATCTTGGATTCAGCAAATCAATCATTGCATTCGTCATCAGTGACCACAAAAGCACCCATATACCGCATTCAATGAGAAACCATTGATTTTTCAAAAATCTACGTGTCACGTGGTTTTAGGTGCCATATTGAATTTTACCCCGAACAGAAAAATTTTTACCATATGGTTTTTGAAAGTAGAACTCATGATCTTTCATTTGGGACGTTTTAGAGCTCAATCAGCTTCATGGTGTTGGTTTCATTATCAATTGAATATACAAAAAAGTAGAGTCATGTGGCCATATTTGATCAGATGTGAAGTTTCAGGGAAAAAACCACTTGAATTTCAAAAGTAGACTTTAAAACCTTTTGATTAACCACCTATAGAAATTTGATAAAGAAAATGATTTTTGGCTTGTAAGAAGTTATTTGTTGAAAAAGAATGACTTATATATAAATAGATATACGTAGTTAATTTTTAATTCATCGCTATTATTAGTAAACATATAGTTCATTAATATGGATGAATAATTGAAAAATTTTTAGATGATGCTTAAAATAGATTAAAATTAACAATTACTGTAACAGTTATCAGTAACAAAGTGATAAAATGCAACTCTGATAATGTGAAAGTCTTGTGTTGGGTTAATATTTAGATTAGATCGATTATTTTCATTTCTTTTTTCATTTTTTTTATATAGTTCATCTGGAATGGAAACTGCCAATATTATTTTATCTATAATATGAGTGTGTTATTTATTTATTCCATTTTTAGAAAAACAGTTAATGAGAACAAAATTTTTTCAAATTCTGTACAAGTATTACACAAGACTTGTACTGATTTTTTATATATGTATAAATTTCATATATACTGTACATTTGTATATTTGTTTACTGAAGATAAAAAACAGAATATTAATATCACAAAATTAAAAAGAAAATTACTAAACTAGTTCTAAACATTTTGTGTAATCCACCTATGAATATACAAGTTAATTGCCCTCAGTATACATACCTATAGAAAACTGTAATAAATCTATTATTATAAAAGTTAGTTTCCCTATTCTCTATAGCAGTCTGCAGTAGATTATAAAATATACATAGACGATTCCATAAATAAGAATACTAGACAAAATGACAGAATACCTACTGTTAATGGAAATTTATGAATGCGTTTAATGTATTAAATCAGCGACATTTTATATAATGATAATTTGCTTGTTTTTTATGTTTTCTATCCTGTATATAGAATACAATATGTTATACAATAGTTATCAATAATTTATAAAGATATAAATAATATCATATGATATGATATCATAAGAATATGATCAATATAAAGCCAAGACATTTCTATATATAATAATCAATAAAAACCAACTCATATTATACTGAAAAAAACTATAGATATTGAAAATAACTATAGGTCTTCAAAACTATTAAAAACTAAACCATTTACTACAGTTTTTAAATATTACATTATTAACAATTTCACATACTGATTAAACAGATATATATTTTTTCATATTACAATTTTTAAATCGTAAAAAATTAAATCTCATACTAATTATCTCTAAAAAAAGTTATGATTTATTAGATTTCAACTGTATCCTCATAACATATGATAAAAATAATGATTGTAGCAACAATAACAATTATAATAATAATAATTCAGATTATTTACAAGACTCACTTGAAGAAATCAGTTTTTTTTAACGGATAAACTATCCACTCAAACAGTTGTTCACAATCTGTGATGGAATCCTGCAAAGCACTTGCTGTTTCTATATTTACTTCTCGATATGCATTCATAAAATCAACATTACGAACATAATTTGACGCTTTTTTTATTTCAATACTCGAAGTAGTAGCATACTTTTTCTTATTATGAAATGAATAATAGCTGGATTTCTTTTTATTTTTCAAGTTTCCTAGGTTGCTTGATCCGCACTTATTGAGTCTTATCTTGTTTAATTTGTTTTTATTTCCAAATTTCCTATCATTTACCAGAATACGATGACGTTTGAATATATTCAGTTTTGATGTTTGTTTAGAAATATTTGATTGATTCCCAAACATATTAAAAACAACTAACTATTTATAATTATTTAATATATATTTTTAGTTACACTTTCACATTAGGCATAGCGTAAAAATTTCATTAACCTAGCATATCATTAAAATTGCTGAAAAATTGTATGAAAATTTTTCTTTAAAGTATTTATGATGCTCATTCCAAAAATATCACTTCAAAATTCTCTAATCTGTTTAGATCTGGGAGTATGAGAAAAGAAGACTTAACTCTACCCTACTTACCCAACCAGAATGTTATTAAAAAAAAAAAAAAATACCAGTCGAAGTATCTCTAACTGCACCCTCCAAATATTCTAATAAATCAAACTGCTCCCTTATGGTTTATTAAAAAAAAATTATGAATAATATCACAATTCCGGAATCTTTCAAGAGCGATATCTTGGAAAAAAAATTGTTATCTTCAAAATATAAATATCCGAAAAAACTGTACCTTAGCTAATTTTAATTAAGTCAACTTTATTTTCCGAAAAATAGTGATACTAATAATAAATAATTGATAAACCCGATTCTCTACTTAACAATGCTGTAGTGATAAACAGTACGCATGTGCGATTTACAAAATTTAAGCGGGAAGATTGGATGACTTTGGATTTCTGACAAACAACAACTTATTAATTAAATATAGCACCCTATCAAAGTACAATAATACGAGTACAGATTCATCGATTCCACATTCTCTTTCTCGTTATTTGAAAAATATTTAAAAAAAGTATAGCAACAATAATATTTTCTGTTGCTACATGCTAATATCGCTAGGAAACATTTTTTCTTTTGCTTGGTAATGAGAAACTAAACAATACAGCGGTCACTGCTGACACTGATAAATAATTGTTCATATCTTTCTTTAGGATGAATTTCAAAAGAGAATTTTCAAAATTTCTTTTATAAGTTATGCTATCTTCACAGTTGGTGGTGCTAAATGTTTATGCTAAGATTGGCGACTGTTATGACTTGTGAGTTATCTACCCAAACTAGGGTGTTCACAGAACGATTCTGACACTTAAATATGACATGAATTCTGACACCATGACACATTGAAAGAGATGACACCAGAACACATCTTCAGCTACTTCCTGGGCAAAGTTCCATAACGATTTTGGTAATCCAGAATCTATCATTAGAGATCTTAGTTTTTATAATATTGTTCTGTTGAATCTTTCAGCTGTACCATTATGAGGTGGTGTGTATGGATTAGAGAAATTTGACTCTAAATATTCTCGTTTCATAACTTCTAAAAATTCTCCTCCTGTAAATTCTCTGGCGTTATCTGCTCTTACATAGCAAGCTCTAAGATTCTTCCCAACTAAGTTTCTCATTGTATTTAAATAGTTTTCTAAACAGTCTCCTGCTTCGGATTTGTTGACAATAGCATATGTTTTGGCAAATTTCGAGAAGTCATCCACAAAGACTATTATGTATCTTTTCCTACCAGGATAAGTAATTGTTTTGAAGGGACCTATTATATTAGTATGAGTTATTTGTAGTGGATGATCGGCTCTAGTTCTAACTTCTTTAAATGGTTGTTTGCTCATTTTGGACATTATACAAACTTCGCAGTTTTTGATGTTGTTATTGAATTTGACATTGCTAAGTTCTTTATTTGTCTTTTGTAACTTTATTAAATAGTCATATGATGGGTGTCCCAATCTTACATGCCACAGCATCCCTTCATCTAACACCTCTGAGTATCTTTTCTTGAGTTCGAATGATGTAAATAAATCATCCATTGGTTTTTCGTTTTTAAGGTCATCTAGTGAGTAGTTTTCAAAGTCTTTGTATTGGCTAAGTATAGGTATAGATTCATTCGTAATAATCTCCCTCCCAATCTCTGAGTCTATATTTTTATTGTTTTCTATCTCTATATTTTGTGAGTCTTTCGAAAAATCTTCTAATGTTATTAATCGTGCTCTACAAGAATATTTATTGCATGTTTGTTTGTCCGGGTTCTCGATTCTGTTCTTTACTTCTAATTGTATTAGCCAGTTTGGTTTCTTATAGTACCCGGTTAGAAATATAGATCCATCATTTTTATCAAATATTTTTAAGTTTTTGTCATCAAAGTATATACTAAATCCGGCGTCGACAAATTTCCTAAAGGACATTAGGTTTTCGGATATATCAGGGGCAGCTAGAACGTTAGATAGTCTAATGGTATGACCTTCTGTATTTAAACTTTTAAGGTACAGATCTCCTTGTCCATCTATCTCGATATCGGCCGATTTATTTTTGTTCGCACTCTTAATATAAGTTCCTGAGCTTCTCTTAAAATTTTACAAGATGAACGCTTTATTTGAAATATGTTCCGTCGCTCCGGAATCTAATAAGAAGGTTATCTTATTGTTTACTTTATCAATGTTACTCTTACCTTCAGTATGTGCGACTGCAGCGTTCGCCAGTTTCTGTTTCTTTTTGTCTCCGCTTGGGTAATAAGTTCTGCTTGCGCCCCGTTTACCTACTCTACCATTGTTGCGACCTCTAGAGTTTCGATTTTTGTTATCTCTATTGTTTTAGCAATAACCTTTGCCTCTTTTGTTATTACCATTACCTCTATTGAAATTTCCCCTGTTACCTCTATATGTACCTTTTTCTTTAGATTCTTTCAGCTCTCTATTATTATTTTTATTGGCAACGTACCCTCCACCTCGGTGGGATCCATCTCCACGAGGGCAGGTTCTGCCCGTGTGGTGCGCGAAATCTCTGCAAATATAGCAGAACCACAAACCATACTGGATCAGCGGGCAAGAGTCCGAGATGTGATAAACATTGTGTCGATCACATCTGAAGCACTTGCCCCCACCGATGGGATCAGTACCGGCTGCGGCCGCTGCGCCAGTTCTTGCAACATTGGCAGAGACTCCGTCCGAGACGCCAGAACTCCTTAAGTCAGCTTCCAGCTGTCGAATGAAATTTTTCATCTCTTCTATATTCATTCCTCTGTCTTTTGTTTGTTTAGTGATTATTTCCATTTCTCTAATTCTAGGGTACGTGTCTTTCACAACTTTCATAAAGGCAGACGTTTTCTCTGCGTCAGTGAGAGGAATAGCTGTATCACAGAGTTCATACTCTCTAATAATGGAGTCAAATTTATCCAAGAATACTGAGACTTTATCTTTCTTATTGATCTTAATGCTGTACAGCTCTTCCCTCACTTTAGCATCATCTGTGTTTGCCTCTATTCTTCTGTGTTCTCTAATCTTTCCTAATATTTCTTTGGGGTCATTAATATTGAGAATTATCTTGTGATAGTTCTCATCTAGATGATTGATTATAATATCTCTAACCAGTCTATTTCTTTTATCAATTTCATCAATATTAAAAATTCTTTTAGGTCTAGTGTTTGAATCTATCACATCTAATAATTCTTTTGCTGATAGTTCTGAGTTTAACCGATCTAACCATACATTGACATTAGCTTTTGACGTGAGGGTATAATCCCTTTTGAAGGATGCTTTAGACGTAGAATTAGTGCTCTCTATTGTTTTAGCTAGTGCACCAAAGGTTTGATTTAATTGACTGCTAATGTCGCTGGTAAGATTATTTTGGTTAACCTCAGGATATGTAATATCAGGGTTAATTTCATTTTCTCTAGCAGTTATATCAGGGGCTCTAGTGTTATTGGAGGTTGTGTTGTTTTAGGGTCTAAAATTCTGTCGATGGAGAATGGATGATTCCCACCGTTTTAAAGTGGCGAAGAGGTTATCGCGCTAGTGTTAGTGTTTGCATTTTTATAGTTTGACGCTACCTCGAGTCTTCTTATCTCGAGTCGCTTTGATTCGAGAGAAGCATCTAGGATTATCCTGGCTTGTCTAATTGCCTCTATAATTTGGGGCCACGCTTTGACCTGAAGCTCCGCCACTTTCTCCGTAGACTCCATGATGTGTTCGAGGTGGGTGGTGTAAGCGGTGTTCAAGTCTTCCCTGGGTGGTGCGTTCCCTGCACCAGTTCTCTGGGGAGGCTGAGGGGCACTATCATGCGAGGGTTTCTTGCCCTCGCATTGTTGGCAGCCCTGTGTCGATTGGGGCCTAAAAGCACGACGAATTCGGGGCCCCGGTCGTCCGTAGCGGTATCGGGTGCGGTTGACGCGACACTGGATATAGTGGTGTCGCTGGCCATAGTTGAAGGTGCTAAGGAACAATATCTCCATATAAACATTCGGTGCTTAACTCTGATTTGTTAAAGAAAAACTCTGATTAATCGCGGATCCGCACTCTATTTCTCCATGATTGTTCGATAGATGTTCTAAAACTCTAAACATATAGTATTTGTTAAATTTTATATACCTTTATCATCCGCCTCTGATTCTTGATCGACGACACGGTCCCCCTCCATTGCCGCCCCCATCTCTTGATTAGCCTCGCTGTTCATCTAAAATAAAATGACCGAATGTTTCGTCTAATTGTTTGTAAAAAAGGTGGCTATCAATAGGTTTCTTCCTTATATCTGTCAGGTACACCCAACAGATACAGTCCGAAAGTCGACAATTAGTTATCTGATCGGCTGATACTACTCCCGTGATCCCTCCTTTTCTAGTGGCCATACATGACGCAAATTACTGGGGAGAGGCGATCGCTCACGTCTGCAACATCAAACCAATCATCCAACGAACTATCAAAGTCGCGAGAGGTGTTGACTGTACTTAGCGCAACAACCTCGACTTTATCAGGAGATATTATTAAGTATATATATATAATTTTTAGTTTAGACTCTAGGTATCTCTAAAAAATATATCGTTCTGCTAAAAGATTTAACTAGATTCATAATTATGATTATATGTACATATATGTTTATATTATTATTATATATATTAATGTTATGTTCAGAGGTATAGATATTAAGTTTATATATATTTCATTATTTAGTATCCCTTTTTATTTTAATTGTAATGCATGTATGTCATACGTGCAGGCAGTCCCATACCGGGTCACTACTTGATGTCTGACAAGTCGGTCCAGAATTGTAAGTCTTAGGTTGTGTCACAATTACCGTTGTGAACACATCTTAGTAGTGCGCGCTCTCTATATTTTCTCCTTCCCTTTCTCTAACGTTTCGTTGCGCGCACTCTCTCTCTCTCTCTCTCTTTCTATTTGGCGCGTGCGCGGAATGGTATATTTGTCGCGTGCTTTCTTGTCCGCTCACGTTTAGCCGGGTGTCATGGCGTCGAATCCTTTGTTCAACTGTCATACATGACATCGACATTTGATTCACCTATAATTCGCGAAATATGTTGTGTCACTCACGGAATGCATCTAATTTTCATTTTTCTAATCTTAATTAATTGACGTATAATTTTATTCACTTTCTCTATCACTTTATTTCTTAAAAACGAACGCGACAGAAAAACCGCACTCTTCTGTTTATTCTCTAATTATTTTTATTTGTTCTGTAACACTGACTCACTGTTACTATCTCTATCTCTATCGCGATTCCGGCAACTTATATTCTCTTTTTTGTTGCAATGTTAATTCTGTTTTACTATTGTTTCTCTACTTTGTTTTGTTCGTAGAGCTTCCAGCTACTATACAAAGGAGAATGTTTCGTTGTTCTTTGTCGCGAGCTCATGTAGCTTAAGCGAATGATTTTATTTATTTTGTAACACTTTAATAATTCAATTGACATACCTCTATAAGTTTTATTTGTTGCGCAGCGGAAGCGTTGCAGGGCCGATAACCTGTTGGAACTTTGGGTTGAAGTGAATTAATTTAAACACTAGCTTTAGGTTAAAATAGAAAATACAAAGTTATTTTATTTAAAAGTCTATTACAATAGTTATACTCTAATGATGCTCTAATAATAATAATAATAGTAATCCTCTAATTATTGTGAGAGCTCTAACACCAAAGGCGATTACTGTTGGAATGCCGCGCTAGTTTCCGAACTCAGCGAAGGTGGCGTGGTATGCGTGCGCGCACATGCGCACAAGAAGCTTAACAACAAACAAAAACATTACAATACATATTCCCCAAAAACAAACGATAAATTTTTATAAATTGACTTCTTTGGCTACCACATTTTATTAATAATATGAAATTTACATTTTTCTTTCTAAATACTAAATATTGTAATTTTTATCAAGGGTCGCGGTCGAGAGCCTTAGGCGAGTAGGCCCGAAGTGGTCACGAAACTGCTGGCCGGCCGTAACACTATAATACAATGAAATGGGAAAACGTCAGAGTTGTCGAACAGATGTACTTATTTTTCATGTTTCAACGTATCGATTTCCTCATGTGGTATATGGTTTTAAAAAGTCTAGATTCTCTTCTATTATCCGAAAAAAGATTCACTTCGACTTCGACAGTCTTTGATTGACCCCTCGCAACCACTCGATTATCGTCAAAAAGGACTTTTTGAGGCACATAGTTCAGAACCGGCAAGGGCGTCCGAGTCAACGCTGATAAACCACATCGAAGTATGTATAGCATAAAAAAAATTTTAATTTGAGTACGCGCGATAAATTTTACTTACATGATTGTTTTTTTTTCTAGATCCCTGCTAAAAATGTTCTATTGAAAATGATTTAAAAGAAAGCAATCATTTTTAATCGTGAATCTGAATCCCTCATTATCCAATTAAATTCCATTTACATCGATTAGAGAGGACTGTGAAGGTGGCCCCCGGGTTTTTATGAGAAATTGCTAGCGAAAATGGGAAAACGGCATTAATTCCGCTAATTGTCCCTGATACTCGTAGTAATTTCCCATTTTCGATTAGTCAACGGGAAATGGGTGAAAATTGGCATTTTCTCCTGGCACCGGAAGTGGCCTCTTTCTCTAATAATTGTTGTTGAATAATTACGATTGATGGCTTAAAATTAAGATTTCAATATCCCCCGTCATCCCCCGTATTCGCATTTATGCTAAATGTTACTCATTTTAAACAAAAATTGTTCATAACTTTGACGCTTTGAATGGCGGGAAATCGGTGTCAGTCCGTATTTCTGCGTTCCGTGGTCCAGATAACACAGCTGGTGTCGCAGACATGTACTGGACACTTGTTAGAGTCGTCTGCTCTTAAACAATAATAATACCTAATCTGATAATAATACTTTCTTGTACAGTTAACCTCATAAGCCATGTTTTCGTTTAAACAATTTTCCTTTTGTCGATATTCTATCCAAAATTGAGGAAAATGTAAAAATTAGTAATATCCGGCAGTTAGTCGATAAAACAGGTCAAACGTTTGATAATCACCAGATATCCCTATATGAGTTCTACATTGCGTAATTATAATAATAAGTAATTCAAATTCTACTCAATTAACCATTCACATTTTATGTACATATACATAAATAATTTTTTCTAAGGTTTTCTATAAGTTTGTCAACATGCCAATTTTATAATTAATATTTTAACTATATAAAATAACATAATTCTAAACAAAGTAATAAAAAAATTGAATTGACTAGTTAAAATTGAAAAAAAAACAATCATTGATCAAAAACTTATAGCTTAGTTTTATATTTGTTGAATAATTTAATAACGAACTTAATTTTACTTCCATTCTTCTTAACAATATAAAGTAATAATCCATTGTAGCATATTATAAAAATACTTCAATATATTGAAGTATTTTCTATACTTCAATAAGTACTTCAATATATTGAAGTATTTTCTATACTTCAATAAGTACTTCAATATATTGAAGTATTTTTATAATATGCTACAATGGATTATTACTTTATATTGTTAAGAAGAATGGAAGTAAAATTAAGTTCGTTATTAAATAATTCAACAAATATAAAACTAAGCTATAAGTTTTTGATCAATGATTGTTTTTTTTCAATTTTAACTAGTCAATTCAATTTTTTTATTACTTTGTTTAGAATTATGTTATTTTATATAGTTAAAATATTAATTATAAAATTGGCATGTTGACAAACTTATAGAAAACCTTAGAAAAAATTATTTATGTATATATACATAAAATGTGAATGGTTAATAGAGTAGAATTTGAATTACTTATTATTATAATTACGCAATGTAGAACTCATATAGGGATATCTGGTGATTAGCAAACGTTTGACCTGTTTTATCGACTAACTGCCGGATATTACTAATTTTTACATTTTCCTCAATTTTGGATAGAATATCGACAAAAGGAAAATTGTTTAAACGAAAACATGGCTTATGAGGTTAACTGTACAAGAAAGTATTATTATATCAGATTAGGTATTATTATTGTTTAAGAGCAGACGACTCTAACAAGTATCCAGTACATGTATGCGACACCAGCTGTGTTATCTGGACCTTGGAATGCAGAAATACGGACTGACACCGATTTCCCGCCATTCAAAGCGTCAAAGTTATGAACAATTTTTATTTAAAATGAGTAACATTTAGCATAAATGCGAATACGGGGGATGACGGGGGATATTGAAATCTTAATTTTAAGCCATCAATTGTAATTATTCAACAACAATTATTAGAGAAAGAGGCCACTTCCGGTGCCAGGAGAAAATGCCAATTTTCACCCATTTCCCGTTGACTAATCGAAAATGGGAAATTACTACGAGTATCAGGGACAATTAACGGAATTAATGCCGTTTTCCCATTTTCGCTAGCAATTTCCCATAAAAACCCGGGGGCCATCTTCACAGTCTTCGATTAGAGCCATATGATGAACGAAATTCAAAAAAATTATTAAAATATATAAAATTGATTGTTATTAAAAGTGATTCAAATCTAATAGTATTGAATAACTTCTAATAAGAAATGCAGCAACTCTATAAATAATATTTTATAAATTAGAATAAATTTTTTCTTTAAATAGCATCTTATACATTTTAATGGTACTTTTCGATATTCGGATAAATAGCGTTGAATATCACAAAATGTTATCAACTAATCATTTTTAATGGATTCTAAAAACTCTTTTTCAACTAATAAATTTAAATAAAATTGAATAAAAAATGGTACTTAAATAAATTATTTTTAATAAAATTTAATGGCAATTTCTATTATTGCCTTTAATAGCATTAAATAAAAACATGCTATTCAAATTAATTACTTTTAATGAGATTTAATGGCATCTGTATTATTGCCTTCATACCTATGTAATTGATTATTTTGAATAACTTCTAATAACTTTTAATGTCATGAATAGATAATATTCATATGTTGAAAAAATGTATGACACACCTGCTTACCCTTCCTCTTTTGATAAATAAAATAAAATCAAATAATGCAATAAAATAAAATAATACAATTGAACAACAAACGTTGAATGCAAAATATTTAATATTAAATAAATCTTAATTTTTATACAAAAGTAAAGTAATAAATAATAAATAAAGTAAGTTAAGTTAGAAAATAGAATAATACAAAGAGTATATGTTATATAATACA